ACAGAATCGGAAACAGGCTCCAGGCTCTGAGCCATCAGCCCAGAGCCCGACGTGGGGCTCGAACTCACGGACCGCGAGATCGTGACCTGGCTGAAGTCGGACGCTTAACCGACTGCGCCACCCAGGCGCCCCGAAACTGTCATTTTAAATCACAGATATATTCGTAGAGGATTCTCATATTGCCAAGTAATTGTTACTTTGCTATGCTATATAAATCTACTCTTTGCAAATTTATATGTGTATATGCATATACATACATATTATAAATGTTAATATACGTGTGCACATGTTAAATTAGTTTTAGGAGTGTAAATCTGATAGCGCTCTCCTTTTTTTTCTCCTTTTATTAGCTTATTGCTTTGCATTTTATCTTTTTGAAAATTATGGAAATATTCGAGTCTAAACTTAAATATTTCTAGAATCCCGCTTCATGTTGTATCTATGGGTATGTTATTATTTTTTTTTATTTTTCTAATATTTATTTATTTTTGAGAGAGAGAGACAGAGTGCCAGCAGGGGAGGGGCAGAGAGAGAGGGAGACACAGAATCCAAAACAGGCTGCAGGCTCTAAGCTGTCAGCACTGAGCCTGATATGGGGCTCAAAAGTCACAAACTGCGAGATCATGACCTGAGCCAAAGTCGGACACTTAATGGACTGAATCACCCAGGCACCCCCTAAGTGTATGTTATTTTTAATATAAAATGAGTAACTCCAAAACAAAAGTATCCTACTCTTAATACCAAAAATGTAAATTCCTACAACAATGCAATTTCTGACCATGTGTTTTTTTTAATGTTTTATTTATTTTTAAGACAGAGAGAGACAGAGCATGAGTGGGAATGGGGCAGAGAGAGAGGGAGACACAGAATCTGAAGCAGGCTCCAGGCTCTGAGCTGTCAGCACAGAGCCCACTGCGGGGCTCGAACTCACGAACCGTGAGTTCCTGACCCGAGCGGAAGTCAGACGCTCAACTGACTGAGCCACCCGGGCGCCCCTCTGACAATGTTTAGAGAAGTATATAAGTTTTTTTTTTTTTTACTGCTAGCTTAAATACACTACAACACTAAGATAAATATATCTAAATATGTGAAGATTCACTCAAAAAGCAAAATCAAATATCCAATTTATGTTTTTAAAAGAAAATGGGGTTACTCACTGAGGTAAAGGGTGAGGATCCTTTATTTCCCAGCCCTTGACACCCCTTCAGGTGGTAGATTAGTTTTTTAGAGTCTGAATATGGTGGGGAAAAAATCTGCACATGGCAAGGGTAACAAGAACTCACCCACCTTCCTTTCTCAGATGTTAGTGCTGTCTCCTTTGATGAAATAAGTTGTTCTAAAGTGGGGATAAGTACAAGGACTTTGAGACATGGTGCCGAAACAACAACAACAAAAAAGAACAGGAAGAAGAAAAAAAAAGAAGTAAGCTACTCATAAACTGTAGGCTATTAAAGTTCTATCTCTAAAATATAACCCTAAACATTACACCTGCGAGGGTAGGTCCCTCAATTGCTGCCATACTCCCTTCATCAAAAATTAATCCATTCAGGATAAAGAAGATGTGGTTTATATATACAGTGGGATACAACTTGGCGATGAGAAAGAATGAAATCCTGCCATTTGCAGCAACGTGGATGGAACTGGAGAGTATTATGCTAAGTGACATAAGTCAGTCAGAGAAAGACAGATACCATATGTTTTCACTCATATGTGGAACTTGAGAAACTTAACAGAAGACCATGGGGGAAGGGAAAGGGAAAAAAAATAGTTACAAACAGAGAAGAAGGGAGACAAACCATAGAGACTCTTAAATACTGAGAACAAACGGAGGGTGGATGGGGGGGGTCAGGAAGAGGGGAAAATGGGCAATGGGCATTGAGGAGGGCACTCGGGATGAGCACTGGGTGTCGTATGTAAGCGATGAATCACAGGAATCTACCCCCCAAACCAAGAGCATACTGTATTCACTGTATGTTAGCCAATTTGGCAATAAACTGTATTAAAAAAATAAAATAAATCACTGCATTATACACCTTAAACTAATGTAACACTGTATGTTAACTATACTTGAATTAAAATTTGAAAACTTAATAAAAAAAAGTGAAATCCAAAAAAAATTAATCCATTCATTCTAAGTTTTAAATGAAAAATTTGAGTATCTGGCTGTCATCTTTTTTTGGTATTCTCTTATTGTTGATTTAAAAAAATTTTTTTTTTTTCAACATTTATTTATTTTTGGGACAGAGAGAGACAGAGCATGAACGGGGGACGGGCAGAGAGAGAGAGGGAGACACAGAATCGGAAACAGGCTCCAGGCTCTGAGCCATCAGCCCAGAGCCCGACGCGGGGCTCGAACTCACAGACCGCGAGATCGTGACCTGGCTGAAGTCGGACGCTTAACCGACTGCGCCACCCAGGCGCCCCTGGCTGTCATCTTTTCAAATCAGTTGTCATATGTCCTATCAGAAAAGGTTCTGAACAAAAAAATAACAAACTCTCCTGGATTGTCCTTCAAAGGGATCGAGGCGTTCCCTGTGAGCCAGTTGTAACCGGGTGCACTGCCAAGCCTCGAAAAACTTGCCGTCACCCAAGTATACAAACCTCCCGTCGAATGACATTTGCAGTTCTCTCCAAGTGATCAGTTTTCCTTTTGGATTTCATTATGCTTTAATAGAAAGTAAAATTAGATTATTAAGTATGATCTTCACAAAAATAATTAAATTAGTTTCCCCTGTAACATCATGACTGTTCAAAATGCACTGTAACATTATGGATCCTAGAAAGTGGTCGGTGAAAAGCTGCACATCTAACTAAAGCTTAACGGTCTACCACAGGCATGCATATATGAGCCAGATGTTCTGATGTGCCTTTAGGAGTCCCACGGCCATCCACAGGTCAGGGCTTTGAATCACCTCAAATGACACCAGGGCCAAAAACTCACCTTGTGAGAGTAAGGTGGCGCAAAGCACCGGACGTCAATCTCAGCGAAGCAGCCTGAGCGCAGATGGTGCCAACAGAGCTTCGCAACAACCCAGGAACTATGACAGCAGCACATGCCATGGTGCTTCCTGGGTAAACATGAAAGTTAAACCATTTTGAGAAAGCAGGGAAATATTAGACTATCTTAGGGGCCAATGAAGAAGAGTTTGGGTTTTTGCTGGTACTTTTATGTGCTGCTCTAACAAAACAGCACACATGTTAAAGGCCTAACTCTACTCTGACATAGTTTCTGCCACTATTTAGAGCTGATTCAATTGATCTCCACTGTACGGACATATGTAATCAGCGGTGCCATGGAATATTCATGCTATCAGTTTCCACAATCACTAACCAACCTCACGTGACTCATCTTATGCTATTATGGGAGACTAGATTTTATAACTGCCTAATAATTGTATTCCTCTCAAAGAGCATCACATAAGTCTTTAACATTTCTTGCTAGATAAAGTACAAGGAGCAAATTTTCTGAGGTTCACAGCGATGAAAATAAACAAACCGCACCTACGTGCAGTAACATAGATGAGTATCATTAATATCACGCTGAACGAAAAGAATGAAAACCAAACTCCGAAAAGCATATTCTGTGAATCCAGTCATATAAAGTACAAAAAACAGACTAAATTAATCTATCAAGTCAGAAATCAAGTTAGCAGTTATCCTTGGGGAGGTAATAATCACCATGCTATTTCTTAATCTGAATGCTGACTGCATGGGTATTTTCATTTTGTAAAAAGTCATCAAACCCCAGAAGATTTCTAGGGTATTAAAGATACTCTGCATGATACCATAGTGGTAGTGATAGACACCATTTGTCTAAATCCACAGAACACACAATACCAAGAGTGAGCTGTAAACTACAGCCTCTGGGGGGATTATGATGTGTCAATGCAGGTTCATCAACTCTAACAAATGTGCTGCTCTGGTGGGGGATACTGATGATGGGGAAAGCTACACATGTGTGAAGGGAGGGAGTACGTGGGAAATCTCTGTACTGACTCCTCAATGTTGCTGCAAACTTAGAAATGCTCTTAAAAAAACAAAAAGCATTGAAAATTAATCAAGCTACCTTCCTAGGATTTAAGTACTTCTGTTTGTATATTTCAATAAAACACAAAAAAACAGATTATCCAACATTGCAATTAAAAAACCTATAGGCTTATCAAAAAAACAGCACGGATCAGGAGTCAGATGATCTATTTTTTTGGTTCCTACCGTTCTGCTATCCTCTGCAAATTTCTGAATATTTCTTTGCCTCCGGTGGTCCCTTTTAACATGTTATATCGCAATATATATTTGTCCTATGTTAGTTAGAGAATATACGAAAATGTATGTAAACACTTTTTTCTGAGCTCTTTGGAAGGTACTATACATAAATTGTAATAAATTTTGGGTTAGAAAAATTCAAGCTGTGTGTGCTTACATTCCTACTCCACATTTGTTAAGTTAGTCCTTCATCTGACAAATACTTATTAAGAGTCCATTATGTGGCAGGCACTGGGGATACAGACATAAACAAAACAAAGACTTTCTTAGAGAGCTTACATTTTAGAAAATAGAGACAGAAAAGAAATAACAGTAAATAATCCAGGGATGATATAAGTCAGTTAAAACCAAGTCATATCAAAACGCACTGCTTTCTAACTAGTCTTTAAAAAAGCTAAAAGACCAACTTCCTGCCACAGTACCTTGTGGCATCACTGTGGATATAAACATGCTACTCACCATTTTTCTCTCTAGTAAATGAAAGAAGCATAAGGCCTTTCATCTCATGTAAGACTACTAAATGTAGTCTGTCTCCTCTGAATGTGCTAAACCTAAAATGGTGCATTCGTTGTTGAAAGAAAGAAGGTGAAACTTACTTTAGAAGTCCATGAGATTTTAGAAGTCATTAAGTATGTGGCTGGCTGACTGACTGACATGTAACACTTTGGTCCTGGTATTACACTGAGACCTTTGGATATACACCAGTTGGAACAAGGATGGTATTTCCATACACTGAAATTCTCACAAAGTTCCTGCAATGGCAGAGACAACATGTAAGAACCAAGTTCTGGCAAACTGTTAAAAGGCAGTCTTAGCTGCAAAAGGAAAGGCTCATTATAATCAGCAAGCATCACCTCACAGCAAGTCTGGGCTCAACTACCTCCTATCCATCAATTCTTCCTCCTTGGGTTTCCACTTTTCTGATTTTTTTCTCTTATTGCTTCCTTTATTCAGCTTCCTTGGCCTGTCTTTAACTCTTGCTACTTAGGACATCCACCCCATGAAAGACCAGACCAAAGGCTGATTACATGTCAGTTCATGTAACATGTAACTTCAGTTACATGTCAGTGAAGGCCAAGTCCTCTGATAAAATTTAACTGATACATAGTTAATATGGTAACACTGTTCTGTTCTGGCTCAGTGCTTTAGACAACTATTGCTAAAATAAATTGTCCTCAATTAAGATATGCCTTTTGGTGATTATGCTGTTTAAAGGGTCTACTGCTCAACTGAACTTGAAAATAAGGAAATGGGGGCACCTGGATGGCTCAGTCAGTTAAGCATCCATCCAAGTCTGGATTTTGGCTCAGGTCATGGTCTCATGGTTTGTGAGATCGAGCCAGGAATCAGGCTCCGTGCTGTCAGTGCAGAGCCTGCTTGGGATTCTCTCTCTCTCTCTGCCCCTCCCCTACTTGCACTCTCAAAATAAATAAACTTAAAAAAAAAAAAAAGAAAATAAAGGAATGTTAATTTTTAAAAGTTGTTCTCTCTAAAATTCTAAAATCTTATTTTTTAATGCTAGTAACCATGACCAAGGGTGCCATCTACTGACATATAAAGGGTATTTTTTTTTCTTTTTTAAAAAAATTTTTTTTTTCAACGTTTATTTATTTTTGGGACAGAGAGAGACAGAGCATGAACGGGGGAGGGGCAGAGAGAGAGGGAGACACAGAATCGGAAACAGGCTCCAGGCTCTGAGCCATCAGCCCAGAGCCTGACGCGGGGCTCGAACTCACGGACCGCGAGATCGTGACCTGGCTGAAGTCGGACGCTTAACCGACTGTGCCACCCAGGTGCCCCTAAAGGGTATTTTTTATCAATTGTGTTCAAAAACCTTCCCAAAGCAGTAAGGTAATAAAAATAAAAACCAAAACCTACCCACTTTTTGACATACATCCAATGGTTTCATATACTCAATGTAAATATTTAATTACCTCTTGAAAGTTAACATACATTAAGGATTTTCTAAAATGATACAAAGAAATACTTCATCAATGTTTCTATTCTCATAGGCCTTACCTCAACCAAAAAATTCTTAATCAACTCTATTTCTGAAACAGAAAATTCTCATCAATGCCAAATAAAACATAACCACTTATACAGTAAAAAAAAATTACTGCAGGCAACAGATTAAGCTTACGATTTAAAATGAACTATACTGGTTCAGTAAGTACACTCTGTTTAAGAATTGTCAGGATGTCAGACACTTTTCTACACCGTGGAGACACAATAAAGAACCAGACACACGGTGCCTGGGTGGCTCAGTTAAGTGTCAGACTGCAGCTCAGGTCATGATCTTGTGGTTCTTGAGTTTGGGCCCCACATCGGGCTCTCTGCTGTTAGCACAGAACCCACTTGGGATCCTCTGTCCTCCTTTCTCTCTGCCCCTCCCCCACTCATTCCCCCCTCAAAATAAGTAAATAAACTTAAAAAAAAAAGAAAAAGAACCAGACACAAAGCCCTTCTCGTCATGAAGTTTTATTAGTGTGTCCAATCAATAATAATAAACCGATAAACAATGAGACAAATATAGATTACAATGAGTATGATAAAGGAAATAAGTGGGGGAGTATCAGGAAAGGTCCCTCTCGAGAGACATGTGAGCTGAGACCTGACTGATGAGGAAGAGACAGCAGAGCAGACAGCAAGGGCAGAGCCACCAAGCAGAGGTCTGATCACAGAAACAAGCCTACTATGTTACAGGAACCACAGCCAGTGTGACTGGAGAGCAGGGAGCTAGGTGACAGTGACAAGAGAGGAAGTCCAGCAGGTAGACACTTGCCAGGTGACATCAGACCATGGAAAGAGTATGACCTTTATTCCAAGGGCAATGGGAAGCAACTGAAGGGTCTGAATAAGCCAGGAAAGGTTTACATTAAAGGATCTAATTTACATTGACTGAAAGACCTAATTTACATTTATAGTAAAGGACCATTCAAACTACTATGTAAAGAATGGATCACAGAAGGCCAAGAGTCCCCAGTTTTAAGGCTCCAGTCTAAGAAGAGAGCAGGATAAAGCTATGAGATGGCAGAAGTAGAAAAACAGAGAGCCTATTTTGGAAATAGAGCCCTATGACTTGCTAACAGATTGGATGAGGTCTGGGAGTAGTTAAAAAAGAGAGGAAAAAAAAAAAAAAAACCGAACAACTCTAAGAGCATTCATACACTGAAATAAAGTAAATTCACAGAACTATCATAGCACTCGTTGATTCAGAATGCTAAGTGTCACTAAGGAATCAAAGCGGCTCCCAGCATTTGGCATTTGGTAAGGGAACTCTAGTGGTTCACAAGTTACGAGAGTGCTTGACCTGAAATCGGTGGAACTGCGTTCAGGCCTGACTCCTTCCTACTTTTTCATCTAGGGCCAGTCACATCTTAACATTTTAAAATCAAATGCCAATAGCACTTCACTGGATTGCTGGAAGGAACAAATGTCTATGCAAGTACCTGGCAAGCAAGAGTTACTAAAAAGCAACTCAATTCCATTAACCCCTGCCCTCTCCTCCCTGCATAACAACCTAGAGAGGTTATCGGTTTGATACCGCCAATAAACTCGCCTCAGCCTGATGCACAACACCCAGTTGCTATTCAGAATTATAAACTAGTTCTAAATTCGATCATATGCTGAGAATTCTGGCCAATATTATTTTCCAGACCAGCAGTGTTAACATTTTATGATTTAAACAACTTTTTTAATTTCTAAGTTTGTGATTGCAAATGATCCTATAGCAACTAGTAAGTCTGCTTTTGTCACACTCTCAAGGTCCAAAAATGTCTCATTACAGAACATTTCCATTCCCTTTCAGGAATAAAAGTTTAGTAGTCATTGTAATGTTTTATTGAGAAATGCTGGGTGGGGTTAAAAAAAAAAAAACAACTGCATTACACGTGTGGTTATGGTTTTACTTTCTTCAGCACAGTATGAACTCAAAACTGGGCAGAACCATACAGGGAACCACTGCTGGCCAGACAAGGCATATGGCCAACAGCTGGCAGGATGAAAACAGTATAGGAAGCCAAGGAGACTCCCAAATCTAGGTCTCAAGGAAACCAGCACTGCTCTGGCAGAAAATCTCTGAGCTCCAGGGCTGTAGGTTTCATCCAGCTCTGCTTCAATGCCATCCTATCACAGACAACATCAAAGTTCATTAAGAGCCTAGGTTCTGGAGTCTGACAGACCGGAGTTCTCACCACAATTTCCCGCCACTTACCAGCTTTGCCTCCTTAGGCAAGCTCTTCAGCCCCTAAACAAGTTTCCCAGTGTTGATAACGGGATTAATATACCTACACCTCACTGGGCTTCTTTAATGACCTCATGCACACAAACCATTTGATAATAGTGCCTGACAAATAGTGTTCATTATAATTAATAAGTAGTTCACTAGTTTTTCTTTTTCCATTTTAGGTAATACAAACTCAAAAAAAGTTGGAAAGTTACAAAGAAATTATGCATAAAAAATATATATATATTACCCAACAACTCCTGTAACTGCTAGGCTACTGACCTCAGATTTTAAAATTCCCCGGCAAATTGTTTTTGCTAGGTCCAAACTGCTTTCTAAAAGGCCTACCAATTCAGACTTCCAAAAACCAAATATGAATGCACCCATTTCTGCACATTCAAAAATGGCTCATCTTTAATTTGTAGGTACTTATGCTGAGAAGCACTGAAGAACTAAAGATGGTTCCCAACCTCAAAATGATCACTGGGACTAGTGAACAGACCCTGGAAGACTGTCCCTTGTCCTCCTGTCTTGAAGATACTACGTGGGAAGTATATGTGGATACAGAGATACAAGGAGCAGCCATGGAGCTGGATGGGCTTTGCTGGGATTTCTCCTTTGCCCAGTCACTCCAGAATCATCCCACTTAATTTAACAAGTGTTTCCTAACTGCTGGATAGGTTTCCAATTATGCTAATGTGAGGCCTTCGAGATAACCTTCTACCAACTTTTATGTAACTTACTGATTTTCTCCCAGACTCCTCTTTTCAAGACTTAAAAGAGCTAAACCATGTGGAGCTACACCTCAGTGTGCACAAAATTGGTAACTTCATGCAAACCTTTGAGTATGTGTATATAAATAAGCATAGGAATGTGTGTGTGTGCAAGTGTTACCCTCAACATACCATGTAAATATAAATGAAATATGGTATAAATAATTGCTAACCAAGTAAAACGGGTAACTTCCGTGCAAAAGTGGAATGTGAGATCTGAACGCAATCTTGTAAATCATCTCTAACCCAACCCCTTTTTAGTCAGAAGGCAAAATAAGGCTCAATGAATGTAAATATCCAGCTCCCCGAGCAAGTTCCCAACAGTCAGATTCTGACCCCACATCTATTTCTCAAAGTGCCGTTTTCACTGCATTGCATTCCTAACTTTGAATAAATGTGGAGTGATGGAGGGATACCTCCCATGGAATCTCCTTGCACTAAAACAGACACTAGCACTGCCTTCAAGACAAAGCACCTTTTATTTGCATTTCACTTTAATGTATACAGAGGTCTCAGGGTGATAACTCTGTCTGCAAATACCATTCCTTTGACAAAAAAGAAAGCTGGTTCAAATAAATTAAGTACTTTGTTCGGAGGCTTTGTGGACAGACAGGGCCTTCATTTCCTAGACAGGTGGTTTTGGTCAAGATATCCAACTCTGTTATCTTAGTCTGAACATCAATAATACGGAGTAACATCTAAACTCCCAGGGTTGATATAAGAGTGATACTTAGTGCAATACTTGGTATATAGCAAACTCCCAATAATAAAAGGTGGTGTCATTACTATTATTACAAGTCATTGTCATTAATAATGACACATGCTTGGCAAACATAGGACTAGAACTCAGCCTGCCTTCCCGGCCGTGGTCCTCTCAACACAATTTAGGGCATTTGAAGATAATCTGGAATAAGGGAGAGAGGCGGGGATGTACCTGAATGGCCAAGCGCAGCCAGGAACTACAAAGTAGGCGTCGCCCTGAGCTCAAGGTCACTCGGTGAATCAAAATTCCAAGTGGACTTTTCGTCCGTCACCGGAGAGGCAGGAAGGGAGGTCCAGGAGGCAGAGCTGCTCCTGCCGCCGCCTGAGACCTAGCAGAGGAGCGCCCTCCTCTCCCCAAGGGCGTTGAAGGCCGGGGGGATGCCACCGATTCCGCAGACTAAGGCCCAGGCCTCTCTAAACCCGGCGGACTTGAGCTAGGACGGCAGCCGCAGTAAAGGGCCTCCGCGCCTCCGGCGCGGCGGGGACTTCGCTCGAAGACCTGCCAGAGCTCCACCACCCGCGCGAGACAACTTCCGGTGTCCCAGACGACACGTCAGAGCGGCGCAAGCGATCCCCACATTTTATTGGTCGGTGCCTCCGACAGCCGGCGCGGTGAGCACACCACCTAGCAGCTGGCGCCCTCATCCAGGGTCTCCGCCCCCTAGCTCAGCCATCTCCATGGTGACCGCAACCGGGTCACCCATTTGGCCTCGAAAGCCGGCGTTGCGTCTTTGTGTATGCGCCGGAAGCGATAGTTCCTGAGCCGGTGCCCGCTGAAAACCCCCGGCTGGGGCCCGCGCGGGAGAAATTAGACCGTCCCGGGGCAGTGTCGGCTGGCGGGGACGACAGGCATCTGCCGACCCCAGTGACAATGGCCGTGTTTCACGACGAGGTGGAGATCGAGGACTTCCAATATGATGAAGACTCGGAGACGTATTTCTACCCCTGCCCGTGTGGGGATAACTTCTGCATTACCAAGGTAACTTCAGGGCCCCTCCCGGCGACTCGTCGGAGCAGGCGCATTTTCGCTCTTGCTACGTTCTTTCCGCGGTCCCGTCACCTTGCATCTCACAATTTTCCACGCCCTTTTTGCCCTGTCTCTGAGTCGCCGTAAAGTTGATACCCTGATTTGACCGTGGCACATCGTTCTGGCCTTTAGTCAGGCGGAGGGCTGGAAGGTGGAGGTGGGAAAGGTCGGATGGCGGGCAGCTGCTATCTTGCCATCCTCCTCCATTTAGGATCCCAGTTCTTTTGGGAGGAAGGGACGCGTTTTTTTAAGTCTTCCCAGGGGTTTGGAGGCGACTGAATCTTGGCTAACCTTCCCGGGTATTTTCAAGTAGCGCTTCGCGGGAGAAATAGAGTTGATATCTCTCTCGGCAGGCCTTTTTGGCCTTCACATACCTTGTCGGGAGACGAGCCACAAAGGAGCTTGACCGTAAGGGTGGAAAGAGTTTGGGAGGAGGAGATCACAAAGGGAAGACAATACCGTACGGTGTTTGATTTTGTTATAGGAAGATTTGGAGAATGGGGAAGACGTGGCAACGTGTCCTAGCTGCTCTCTCATTATAAAAGTAATTTATGACAAGGTAAGTCGTCGAATTTTAAAAGGTGCGGGGGTGGGGGGAAGTGGTTGGAAGGCAAGGACCTAGAGCAGTCTGTGACATCTAAGTGCGGGTAACTCATTTTAGCTTTGGAGAAGGCAATAAAGAAAACTGCGTAGCTAATGAAAATTATTGATTACACATTAAATAGAAAAATAATCATAAATATTGACAACCTGTATTCCTCCTTTATTTACTAAGTAATTAAAATTGTTGAGAGCTCCTAGACTTATTTTGGAGGGAACAGTTGTATAGTGTTTCTTCCCTGGCTTATACGTATAAAACTCTGCATTATCAGGTCATAGCTGCAATTTTACAGTTTCATTTTGGTCTTTGTCTTACTGTTTTTCACTCAAGGATATTGACAATAGAAAACAAATGTTCTGGGGCACCTGGGTAGCTCAGTTGGTTAAGCGTCCATCTTTGGCTCAGGTCATGATCTCACGGTTCGTGAGCTGGAGCCCCGCGTCGAGCTCTGTGCTGACAGCTCAGAGACTGGAGCCTGCTTCAGATTCTGTGTCTCCCTCTCTCTCTCTGCTCCTCCCCTGCTTGCTCTCTGTCTCTCTCTCTCTTTCTCAAAAATAAATAAACATTAAAAAAAAATTTTTTTTTAAAGAAAAGAAATGTTCTTATTGCCCACCCCTACCCTAACTTTGGTCTGTACTTGGAATGGAGTCTTAAGTAAGAAGTTTGACATTGTTTCATTTTCCCTTTTTTTTTTTTTTTTTTTTTTTTTTTGGTGGTGGTGGGAGGGAGATATAATTGACATATAATAGCTTAACATTCTTAAGAATAAACTCTAAAATGAGTATAGGGAAGGTGAGAACAAGGCACTTAGTCTCATGAGAGAAGCAGGCTATAATTTGGAAGCTTACAGATTTATTCCTATATTAAAATGTGTTCTGGAACAAAAAGAGAACAGAGTAAGGGAGAGAAGGAGTGCTTGTATGAGAGGAGGTTGCAATTTTAAATAGGGTGGTCAGGGCAGACCTTCCTGAGAGAAGCCTTATTGAGCAAAGCTTGAAAGAGGTGAGGGATTGAGCCCTGGGGGATACCAGCAGTCCAGCAAAGGGGGCTTGCAGTGGACAGGCCCTAAGGCAGGAACAGGTCTGTTTTTATTGAGGAACAGCAAGTGTGACCAGAGCAGAGTAGATGAGGGTGAGAGAGCAGCCCAATATGAAATTAGTGGGGTGGGGCGATCACAAAGGTGTTTATGGGCTACTTTAAGGACTTTTGCTTTTGCTGTGAATGACACAGGGGACCAATGGAGGATTCTCAGACAAAGGAGCGCTATGATACAACTTAAGTGAAAATAGAGTGATTCTGGCTGTTGTGTTCAGAGTAGACTGGGAGGCAGCAAGGATAGGCATTGGGATATAGCAAGGGTAACAGTTAGGAGGCTGGTAGACGAACCAAGAGGAGAAGATGGATGGCTCGGACCAGGCTGTGGCAGAGGAGATCATGAGAGGTGGTTGGATTCTGGATACACTTTAAAGGATAACGATCCTTTTTTTACTGATTGGGTATAGGATATGAGAGGAATCAAAGATGATTTCCACATTTGTGGCCTTCGTAACTAGAAGGTTGGATTTACCGCCAACTGACGGGGAGGCGTCTGCAGGTATAGGGACCAGAGCTGGAGGTACTAAGTTTAGGAGGTCTACTTTTGATCCAAGTGGAGAGCAAGTGAAAATGCAATTTGATGTGCAAGTCTGAAGTTCAAAGAGAGAGAGAGAGAGATCAGCTGGTGCTGTAAATTTTGGAGTTACCAGCACACAGATAGCGTTTAGAGCCTTGAGACTGGATGAGATGACCAGGGCTGTGAATATAGATAGAGATGGACAAAAGAAAGGACTCAGCTCGGACCCCTCCCAACGTTAAAAGGTCAGGACGGGAAGCAAGGAAACAGCAGAGTTGCCTGAAGAAGGAGGAAGAAAACTACCGGTCTCATATCCTGGAAGCCAGATGAGAAAAGGTGGAGGAAGGGAACACCCTTGTCAGATGCCACTGAGAGCGAACTGACAGTCAACCATTGGCTTTAACAGGGAGTCCATTTGTGACGGTGGTGAGAGCAGTGTTGATGGAGTAATGGAGACAGAGCCTGATTGGTGGAAAACTTCTTGGAGAGAATGAGAAGAATAGGAAGCAGCAAGAGTAGACTTTTCTTTCAACGATTTGCTGCAAAGGGGAGCAGAAACATGGGGCAGTAACTGGTGGTGATAGAGGATCAGGAGAGGGTTTAGGGTGGTAGACATTCAGCTACATGGGTGAACGTAGACACAGGAAGTTAGATTTAACCATGGTTGTGGTTTTGTCAAGTAGGTAGGAGGGAGTGAGGGAAGAGGGATTGTGATAATTGACTGTGGACTTTGAAGTAGGTCCAGAAGACAGAGAGGAGCAGCGATGATACATCGTGTGACTTAAGAGTCAAAGTTGGTGGGTTGTAGAGAGGGAAGGAGAGCAGTGGCAGAAAGAGCAACCAGTCCCTCCTCCAGTTTCTGTGGTACCGGCGCTCTGAGGGAACACAGCACCACCACTTGAGAGGCTATAGGGGAAACGGTGCCCTTAGGGGATGGCCTGTTCTCGAACCCAGCATTAGGGTCATTTGGAGCTGAATAACCGTTGTACAGAGCTGTAGGGTGTTTAGTAGCATCCCTGGCCTCTGCTCATTTGATGCCAGGAGCACGTCCCCCGAATGTCTCCCAAATATTGCCAGATGCCCCCTGGAGACAAAATCAGCACGCCCTTCCTACCACCTCTTGAGAACCACTGTATTAAAGCAGGAAGACGTGGTTATGTTTTAAAGAAGGGGTTGAGAATATGGAGCAATGTGCTGGTCACAGACCATAAATTTCAAACAGCAAGTTGGGGTCGGAGAGGAGGTGCTAGGTGCTGGGCAGGAGTGAGAGAGCGATGACACGATACAGGCTGACCCTGCTGGGGATCAGACTACAGGAGATAAGGGGTAACCTGGAAGGCAGAGGTTTCTTGTAGCTGACATGAGCCAGGATAACTAATCAGAGATTGAAATGCATTTACAACATAGCTGACACTGCAGATTATCTGTGTGGGGAAATGCATAAAGAGCAATCTCTTTTAGCTGGAAGAAGTAATTACCTTGGGGCGCCTGGGTGGCTCAGTCGGTTGTGCGTTTGACTTCCACTCAGGTTATGATCTCACGGTTCCTGGGTTTGAGCCCCGCGGCGGGCTATGTGCTGACAGCTCGGAGCCTGGAGCCTGTTTCAGATTCTGTGTCTCCCTCTCTCTTTGCCCCTCCCCCACTTGTGTGTGCGCTCCCTCCCTCTCTCTCTCTCTCTCTCTCTCTCTCAAAACTTAATAAATAGACTTAAAAAGTGGCACCTGGGTGGCTCAGTCTGTTAAGTGTCTGACTTCAGCTCAGGTCATGATCTCACCGTCCATGGGTTCGAGCCCCGCGTTGGGCTCTGTGCTGATGGCTGAGAGCCTGGAGCCTGCTTTGGATTCTGTATCTCCCTCTTTCTGCCCATTCCCTGCTCACGCTCTGTCTCTGTCTCTCAAAAATAAATAAACATTGAAAAAAAAATTTTTTAATAGATAGACTTAAAAAAAAAAGTAATTACCTTGAAGAGGATAGGCATTTGAATGACCACATATTGAATTTAGGAAGTTATAGTGTAGTAATTAATACAGAAACTGAAAAGGTGTGACATGTGTTTATAAATGTGATTTCTGACAAGTGGATGATCTGTGGTGAAGGGGGTGGGCATGCTTGTTTCTAAGATAAGCTGCTTTGAATTAAGTGTGAGTTCAGGACTAAAAACTGAAGCACCTTTAAGATGATAATTTTGGTGCCGACACTGACTCTGAACAAGGATGAAGTGATACAGCAATGAAAAACTAACAGCTGCGGGGTGCCTCGCTGACTCAAGTCGAAAGAGCGTGTAACTCTTGATCTTGAGGTTGTGAGTCCAAGCCCCACGTTAGGTGTGGAAATTACTAAAAAATAAATAAATAAACTTTAAAACAAATCAAAATAAAAACAAACAGCTGGATTGATTCTGCAACAAAACGAAAGTCTAATATTGATGCATTTGTGACACACTCGATGATTAATGTAATTACTTGTTCTGTCTTAGGATCAGTTTATGTGTGGAGAAACAGTCCCAGCCCCTTCCACTCACAAAGAATTAGTTAAATGCTGAAGAAGACTTTAGGAATCCAAATGCTGAACATTTGGGAATGAGCCAGTCTGGAAAAATCAAATGCAAAGTTACTGGCTTCTTCCTGAGGACAACCATTCTGTAGTTGGCTCTTCCATTAGAGTGTGGATCCTTGCCTTTGGCTGCCAAGTTCATCTCCAATTAAAGAAGCAAGTGCACGACACGACATGCCTGGATTTTGTGCTTAGAACTTTGAATTGGATGTGTTGTTAATTTTCCATGTGAATTTTGTGTCTCACACCTGTTTTCTTCCTTATCCGATCACAGCATCATCTACCTCAAAGTCATTAGGATTCCTTAATAAAAGGGGGGATTATATTTTTGGTTTAGTTATTAAGATGATTAAAATTAGCCCTTTCTTTGAAATCGGACATCAACTTTGCTGTTCTAAACTCAAATTAGCTGCTTTGTCCACATGCACTTTCAGTTCCCACTTCTCAGTCTTGCATTCATTAGAACGTTCATGTTCTGTTTAGCATGCCACTTCCATTATACTTCCTACATGGAGTGCTGCTCGTGGAATTAGAGAGAAAATATACCGAGCTCACCCTTTTTCCAGAGCAAAAAGTTAGTAAGAAAGAAAAGTCAAAAAGTGAAATGGTCAAAGAATCTGGCGTTTCCTTATCAATCTTCCGCATGTTCCTCGAACATTGGGACAAGACAAAAAGAAAAGCAGCTGAAGGAATGAAATCGGTAGCAGAACGAGAGGAGGAAAACTTGCCAACTTATAAATTAAACGCTTGAATAGTTTTGCCAGGTCAGAGCAGGTAATAACTGCGTATCTGGGTCTTGTTTGTTTTTAGATCAGGCTAATGAAATTGCTTTCGAGATAGGGGTTCATGTCAAGGCCTTGCAGCTGGCAACAGTGCTTTCAGCGTTACCTCAAAATCGACTCACTGCCCCTAAAAGGCAAAGCTTCTACAGCAACTCTTGGTTTGCCGAGGATGAATTTGAAGATGAGATGCCGACTCTAAATAAATATGTCCCTGGGGATGCATCTAACAAGTGGTTATAAGCTGTACCTGAACCAGACGTGCATTCTTAGAAGTGTAAAAAGAATTTATAAAGACAGGCTATCAGACTTCCTTTGCTACAGTGTAGTAGCCAGAAATCAGAATCGCTTACACGAAAATTCAAGATTTTCTTTTATATGCACAATTTTCCTATGTGTTTATAAAATTTAAAAATTCACTGATGTCCGGCATGTTGTTTTGGATGGGAACGTTTCCCGCAATTGGAAAAAAATAGCTTGCCAGAACATGACCAGTCTGTCGCTGGTTGATACATGTGCTTCACACACTCGCCAAGGGTTTAACTTAAAACAACTAAGTGGCCTTTTTAAAAAACAAAACAAAAACAAAACCCACAAAAAAACACCTTGCAAAAGCACGGTTATGTGCAGCTGTTACGTTAAATCACCAAACATTGTATGCCAGAAGTGCATAGTACATTATATGGTATTATATAACATATTCACGGAATGAGAAGTCTCACTGCTGTTCAGGGACACACTGATGCCCCAGAAGAATCCGCCAGTGAATTTGAGCCAATGGCAACTTAGATGAGAGCATGTTGTATGCTGACTGCTGGGAATTAACTCTAAAGAGAAATGAACTGTCTCATGCTCGGATTTGATGGTTTTGTAAATCCCAGTATTAACTCCTTCAGCTGATGATGAATTTCAGACAGGAACAGGCACCCCTGATGTAGGTCTACTGTGAACATAGAAGGAATAAAAGTCCCCAAGTCCAAACATCCCAGGAGAGAAAAAGTGCACTGGCAGTCGGTGATCAATGATAATCTGCAGTGATGGGAGTGATTCTGTTTCCAGAATTTGTTAACTGCAAAAGAACAAGGTTTAATCCTATGTTAAGCAGAAAGTAACACAAGGGCCTTTGGGGTATGACTAGAGTTCTTTGTGACGCTATGTGCCTTGTGTACTTTACCAGACCTTTCAGACCACTTCTGAGAACTGATTTGTAATCCAGGCTGTCTCTTACTAGCTTTGTAGTCTTTGCAGTGGATTTGTCACTTCTACAATTAGGAGACCAGATTGGGTGATTTCTAAACTGTCAGTACTAGAACTTCAGCCTTCATCGCTTGCGGGAGCTGAAATGGTCATTGAAACCTTTATAAACTCTGAACTAAATCATGAACTATTAGAGAAGGAGACCCCATGCTTCTTTAGTGACTTAATGTTACCACACTTCAGAGTTTGAAAATAGAGTTGGCTATTTAAAGGATTCTGCATATGTCTTCGTGTACACCTCCAGAACCACTTTAGGGAAAGCGCCCAATGCTTTTGATTGCTGTGCATATTAATTTATTATCAGGATACTAAATAAAGTCATAATTCAAATCCATTTGTTTTCATGTAGCTTTCTTCCCCTAAACACCAACATTTTGTATTAAAAGGTTTTGATAGCATTTTCTATGAGGTAGAAAGAAGCCTTCACCTGCTTCGGGAAATTTTAAGTAAGTTTCTTGTATGGACGGTAGAGTTTTTAAATGGGAAAGAAATTGTCACTGTTTTTTTAGTTTGGCCACATGGGTTTTGGTTGTGGATTTTTATTTTTCCTGGGGGAAAAAATAGCTGTGAATCAACTGTCAGTCAGGCAAAGACAGTTGAAGGTTGATATTTTACTTTAAGGCTGATGATCAACTCTTGCAGTTGTTTGAGAGCCCAGCTCTGGTCAAGACACAGTTTGAACCTCAGTTCGTCCACTATAATCTTGGACAAGCTACTGAATGTTTCTGTATCTCTATGTCCTGGTGTGTGAAATGCAGACCATAACACTACCTCTTTCCTGTGGTTGATCTGTGGATTCATTCATTCCGAAAGTGTGTGTGGAGCGCCTGCCACATGTTAGGCACTCGGTAGGGTCTCTGCCATCATGGAGCCTGCAGGCGAGTGGAAGAGGGGAAGTAAGATTACAGACTGTGGTTACGGCCCAGGAGGAAACAAACTATGTGATGTGACAGCTTCAGTAGTTGTATCGATAAAGGGCAGACACAAGGCATCGCAGGTGGGGCACTTCTGAGACTTGAAGGGTAAGGGTGAAACAGTCCTTGTGAAAATAATTAAACGAACTAATGACTAAAACATTTAGTACAATACCTATCATATGTGCAAAATAAAGGTTAACCATTCTGATTCCAAAAGGAATTCAACATTGTTTTGAGCATTGATAGCATTCTTAGAATAAATATGAGAAGTGCAAATTATTGGACACCCTTCCCCTGTACTTACTGAATCTGGGGGCGAGTGTTAACAAGCTCTCCGAGTGATTCTGATGCAGCTAACATTTGAGGACCACTGATCTAGAACCAGTGTTCAAACTTGGCAGCACATTGGAATTATCTGAGGAGCTATACACGGATGCCTTAGAGAAGCTGATTTAATTGGCCTGGGTGCAGCTTGGACACCAGGATTCTTAAAGCATCTCCCTGGTGATTCTAATGTGCAACCAAAGATGAGAACCACTGGACTAGAAAAACAGGAAATTCATAATCGCAAAGTACAGAGGGTCCAATTTTTTTAAGTGGTCACACCTGCTTTGTGGAGAAAGGCGTGTGGACTCAGTTGACCCCACACCTTGTATTCAGGCATGAAATCAGCCTTAGCAAGTGACCCAAGAGCCCAGGCTGGGCTAATGGACAGAGTTGGAGAGCGCCAAACTGGGCAGTCTCTGGCCTGCGTCCCTTGTTCAAACAGACAATCCCATCGTTTCTAGCACACACTCTGGCTGCTAATTACATACCTTGCAAAAGTGACAGCTTCTGCAGGTGTGAGCAATTAGGATTTCTCTAACTCCATTGGAGGATGCCTGCCACTCCCTGCTTCCTACAAAGCAAATTGCCCATGATTACATATTTGACTGGGAAACCATTTTACAAATTATTCCTTGTTAAGGGCTTGAAACAAAGGACAAATGAATAGGGAATCACAGTTAAAAATACTATCCCCGGGGCGCCTGGGTGGCGCAGTCGGTTGGGCGTCCGACTTCAGCCAGGTCACGATCTCGCGGTCCGTGAGTTCGAGCCCCGCGTCGGGCTCTGGGCTGATGGCTCAGAGCCTGGAGCCTGTTTCCCATTCTGTGTCTCCCTCTCTCTCTGCCCCTCCCCCGTTCATGCTCTGTCTCTCTCTGTCCCAAGAATAAATAAACGTTGAAAAAAAATTAAAAAAAAAAAAATACTATCCCCTTGCTCACAAAATGCTTACATGGGGGAGGTGTATCTAAGGAAGTCAAATGAGGGGCATTTGACAGGGGAAGGGGTTCAGTAAGAGGTGGCTCCCAAATAGAGGTAAATGTCTAGTAAGGGATGAGGCATCCCAATAAGTGGCACAGAGCCACAGGTGCTATTCAGTGGGTCAACACTTGGGACCGAGGCAAGTAGTTCCCATCTGAGACCTGATCATGGTAGCAGGGTCCAGTCACTAAGCAAAGATTTGGGGGCAGATTTCATTCTTAGAGGGGAACTGAGTTCTTGGATAGGGTCAAATGTTGAACCTTTGGACAAAGATGAATGCCAAGATTGAGAGTGGAGAAGGGGGGGAAACAAACTGTTAATGGGCACTATCTGTGAAGGCAGCACAAGCCATCCAGGGTCACCCCAGAGGGCACTGGGTCCCAGTCTGCAGTCCCAAGTGACAGAAATTGGAATATTACTTCCAGTCTTTCTCTGGTGGCCAGTGCTAACTTAGGACCACACAGGGGAGGGGATTCTGGAAATGTAGTTGTGTAGTCCCAGTTTAACCAAATTAGCACCACATACAGTGTTGGGAAGCCAAGGTGAGAGTGGGGCACTTCATTTGTTCTTAAGCAGGTAGAATGATAATAGCACGATGTCATTTGGATTACATGTGATGTTGATACCATTATCCCAATGTTAACTGGAACCAAGTTTTTGTTAATGTGTCGAGTATTGTACTACAAACCACCCAAAACTTAAAGCAGTAGTCGTTTGTTCTCTCTTGTGTCTAGGGATCAGCAGGAGTTGGCTGGTGACTGTAAACAGCAGGCTGCAGCTGGTTCTGGTCCCATGCCACCCTTCTTCCTCAGACCCGGGGACTTGCCAGGACAGCAGTGCAAGAGCCATGTCTGCCAGTTTTCCATTGGCCAAAACAAGTCACGTGGCCAAGCCCAAAGTCAAGGTGCAGGGAAATACAATTCTCCCATGGAGGTGGTGGGTAGGGAAGGGGTGGCTATTTTTGGAAAGTAATCTAAGTGTCAGGCTTGGCATTTCAATCCAATACTTTTGACTCCAAATCTCATGTTCTCTCTTCTCTGGCTGTGTTGGAATAATTGAAAAATTTTCCAAGTGATAAAATGGAAGCAGTTTGAAACATTAAAATAAGTCAGCCACTCTCATGTTGCTGGCCAGACATCAGACAGCAAGCCCATGGGACTAATTTTTTGCTAATTTTTTGTGTTTTGAGATGAGCGAGTCTTTGGCTGTGTTTTCCATATTCAAATTCAGAGCAATGTAACTCTAGTAATAACAGATTATTTCCAAAGTCTGCCATAAATATCCACTTGAAGATATTGAATTATTAGCCCTAATTATAGAGAGAAATGGAACATAGGCTCATATGATATTAAAAGTGAGATGTAATACTCATGGGAACCTTCACTACCCACCTTACTGACATGTCTGTTTCCTGCTTGCTGGCACTTTGGGATGTTCATTTTGAATGTTTTTATGACAACTAATTCCCTGATACATTTCAGCAGTACCCAATGGTTTGTTATCCAAACTGTTTCAAATCAGGTGAGCAGCTCTTGCTTCAGGTCTCAGGTGACTGTGGTGCCATATCTGAAACCTTGAAATTTAGACCTTTGACACAGTCCACCAGATACAGCTTATGTTTCCAGCCAAATGTGGCCTACTCATGACTTGTCCATCTGGCATGGCTAAGCACTCAACACACCATGCTGAGGGGGAAAAAAATCAGTGAAGTTAGAACTGAAGCAGGACTTTCTGCTTATAAAAGTGTTAGGATTGTTAGTAGTTAGCCCCCAAATGGATAAGTACTCTTATTCAATCAGTAAATATGCTCCAAGGTATTTTTGTTTATGAGAATTGGGCCTCATCTCTTCAAAGGGCGATTAAAGAAATAGAATTATATTATGGAGACTCTTTAAGAACAGGATGGAAATGTTTTGCTCCTCTAAGTGACCCAAAGGCATGCATTGATAGTTAAGGATTAGAAACTTGGTTCTTCGCCAAACTTAACCCTTATTCACCATCACTTTTTTTTTTAACTTTATTTTTTAAAATTTACATCCAAATTAGTTAGCATATAGTGAAGCAATGATTTCAAGAGTAGATTCCTTAATGCCCCTTACCCATTTAGCCCATCCCCCCTCCCACCACCCCTCCCATAACCCTCAGGTTTGTTCTCCATATTTATGAGTCTGTTCTATTTTGTCCCCTCCCTGTTTTTATATTATTTTTGTTTCCCTTCCCTTATGTTCATCTGTTTTGTCTCTTAAAGTCCTCATATGAGTGAAGTCATATGATTTTTGTCTTTCTCTGACTGACTAATTTCACTTAGCATAAAGCCTCCAGTTCCATCCATATAGTTGCAAATGGCAAGATTTCATTCTTTTTGATTGCCAGTACTCCGTTGTATATATATACCACATCTTCTTTATTCATTCATCCATCAATGGACATTTGGGCTCCTTCCATACTTTGGCTATTGTTGATAGTGCTGCTATAAACATGGGAGTGCATGTGTCCTTTCGAAACAGCACACCTGTATCCCGTGGGTAAATGCCTAGTAGTGCAATTGCTGGGTAGTAGGGTAGTTCTATTTTTAGTTTTTTGAGGAACCTCCATACTGTTTTCCAGAGTGGCTGCACCAGCTTGTATTCCCTCCAATAATGCAAAAGAGATCTCTTTCTCCGCATGTTTGCCAACATCTGTTGTTGCCTGAGTTGTTAATGTTAGCCATTCTGACAGGTGTGAGGTGGCATCTCATTGTGATTTTGATTTGTATTTCCCTGATAATGAGTGATGTGGAGCATTTTTTCATGTGTCGGTTGGCCATCTGGATGTCTTCTTTGAAGAAGTGTCTAGTCATGTCTTTTGCCCATTTCTTCACTGGATTATTCGGTTTTTGGGTGTTGAGTTTGATAAGTTCTTTGTAGATTTTGGATACTAACCCTTTATCTGATATGTCATTTGCAAATATCTTCTCCCATTCTGTCGGTTGCCTTTTAGTTTTGCTAATTGTTTCCTTCGCTGTGCAGAAGCTTTTTATTTTGATGAGGTCCCAGTAGTTCATTTTTGCTTTTGTTTCCCTTGCCTCTGGAGACGTGTTGAGTAAGAAGTTGCTGCGGCCAAGATCAAAGAGGTTTTTGCCTGCTTTCTCCTCGAGGATTGTGATGGCTTCCTGTCTTACATTGAGGTCTTACATCCATTTTGAGTTTATTTTTGTGTATGGTGTAAGAAAGGGGTCCAGGTTCATTCTTCTGCAAGTCGCTGTCCAGTTTTCCCGGCACCACTTGCTGAAGAGACTGTCTTTATTCCATTGGATATTCTTTCCTGCTTTGTCAAAGATTAGTTGGCCATACGTTTGTGGGTTCATTTCTGGGTTCTCTATTCTATTCCATTGATCTGAATGTCTGTTCTTGTGCCACACCATCATTTTTAATGGAATCACTGCATGTACGTAACCAGGCAAGAGGAATGCCTGACCATGGCCAGATGGCTCCTGTTTTCTTGCTTACACACGCGTTCTGCCCCATCTGTGAGCTCAGTGGGTCAGGGCCCTAGACAAAGAGGCCAAGGATGTTACTGGTCACCTCTCCAGGCCTTGTCTTAACTGTGAAACAGGGTGGGTGTGAAGAAAGAATTCTGAAGGTCTCTGTCAGCTGTGTTCTGATATGACTTTTAAGCAGGTGAACGATTATTTCTATTCTCTGATGAAGTTGTCCTGTCCTGATTTCTATTCTCTGATGAAGTTGTCCTGATTTGCCTGAAGGAGCAACCTGGGGATGAGTGCCGTGCTCTGGGCTGGGAGAGGGGACAGAGGAAGAGAAGGAGGGGGGAGCTGACAGGGGCCAGGCCCTGTTGGGGGAGCCAGAGCCCCACTGGACAGGAATGTTGACAGCCCAAGCCATGTCAGCAGCTGAAACCTCTCTGGGCTCACATGTTCTTCTTCCCAAGGGGCAGCCTACTTAATGTGAATAACATCTGTGGAAGCTTCACTCCAAGGCCTGAGGCAAACACAGCCCACTGGTTACCAAGCAAGGGGACATCTTACCTACCTAGCAGGGCTTTTGCATTCTGGATCTGCGCTGTCCAACATGATAGCCACTGACTATGTGTGGTTTTTTAAATTTACATTTCAATTAAGATGAAATAAAATTAAGAAGTCAGTTCTTAATTTCAAGTACCCATGTACACATGTGGCTGTGGCTTGTGGCTACCATATTGGATGGTTCAAGTAAAGAACATTTCCATCATCACAGAGAGTTCTATTGAGTGGCTCTGTTCTAGAATGCAGCACAGTGCTCAACTGAAGAAATATAAAATGCCTCTCCCTACTTCCTCTTCTTATATGACCTTTCTTTCTTTGTTTGCATTAGAATGGCCCAGCAATTTATTCTGGGAGGCTGAAAAAGATGAGCTCTTTGATATCAAAAACCTGAGTTCACGTCTCAGCTCCCTTAAGTCAAGTTTACGATAGTCACTTTGTTTCTATGTCAGTAAAATGATGAGTTTTGAAGATCAGATGGGATAATAAACATGAAATTATTGATAAGCCCAATGAACTGTACAGATTCGCACCAAATGATGCACCAAGAGAAAAAGGAGGGGAGATTGTCATTAGAGTTCTATCAGAAAAGGGGTGAGTTTTGGAATAATATTGGTGGCTTTTCCAAAGGGACTGTAAAGGTAAAATAAGGATACTGTCTCTGAGGGAGAAAGCACCTATCTCCCATTTCTCCATCCTTAGGGAGTCTTCATGCAAACCAAATGGGCCTAAGAAGAGGCACAAACTTTTGATTTTATAATGCAAGGTTGAGGGGCACGTGGGTGGTTCAGTTGGTTAAGTGTCTGACTTTTGATCTTGGCTCAGGTCATGATCTCACAGTTTGTGAGTTCAAGCCCCTCATCCGGTTCTGCAGTGATGGCAAGGAGCCTGCTTGGGATTTTGTCTCTTCTTCTCTCTGCCCCTCCCCTGCTTGTGCATGTGTGTGTGTGCACGTGCGCACGCATGCGTGTGCTCTCACTCTCAAAATAAATAAACTTTAAAAAAATAAGATAATGCAAGGTTGAGGTCCTTCTGACCCCAGAGAGGGAAAGGTTAGGACCTGAGGTTCCTGGGTGGGGAAAAACACATGTTTTGGAACAATGCTTGGAGCATCTGACTATAGCAAACCCCCTCGGATAGAAGGTTCCTCTTAAGAATGTAACAAATACCACCTACTTCCCCTTAGGAATTTGACAAAAGACCTAACTGAAAAAACATGGTAGACCATAAAACATATGACCCACAAGGAACATTATGGCCATAGACCACCCCCTCATACTTGGAATCCAGCCAATCAGGAGTGGACAACCCAGCATCTAGAGTTATCAAGCCAATAAGGGTAGAACCTGAGAAGGAATGAGGGGGCAGGGAAGGGGGCAACCAGAACCTGATAAAACAAGGACCCCTTGCCTATAGAAGGCATTCACCTTCGAATGCCCCCTCTCTGTAGAGAGAGCTTTCCTGCTGTTCTTCCTTTCTGAGCTTATACTCTCATAAACTTCTGTCTGCTGTTCGTTCTGTGTCCACCTCTTCATTCTTTGAAGCGGCGAGCAACGAACTCCGGGTTTTGAGGTAAAAATTCCTACAACATCTGGAGGTACTCAGGAGATCCTTACAAGGCCTACTCCTTAGCCTCTCAAGGAGATGAGAAATGAGAAGTTGTCCTTATTCCTTCTTCCACTTTACTGCAGAAATTCATGTGCAATCGTGTCGACTCCAGTCACTTCTGAGTTACCTCACATGTGAGTCTGTTGGTTCTTATGTAACAATAAATTGTGTTTGCTCTCTTCTGTACACACATGAAGAGGTCTTTTTGTTGGCAGGATTGTTTTATGGCCCCAACAGAACCAGCGAACACTTAGGTTTCTGATGTGGAAAGGAGGTGCCAAAGGGAAGGCCTCCTTCTGAAGGAGATGGGCTCAGAGGAGGGCAGGGCTGGGCTTCAGGCTGACTTGCAGTCCAGGGATGCTGCATTTGAGACCCAGGCCAGAGGAGAGCAGCAGCTCTGGTGTCCTGAGGCCCAGAAGTGGTGTAGGCCAGGAAGGGAGAGGAGTAGTATAGGCCAGTCCTGAGACTGCCTGGTAGTAGGGCGGCTTTCCACCTCCAGCATGGCAGACTCCCTGATAACTCCAGAAAAGTCCTTGAAGTGAAATTTCTGTTTTAAGTGCTACAGGGCTTCTTTGCCTTACATGAGATTTCAAATCACTGAGCTTTCAACAACAAAAGTCCTCATAGTTTCCTGGACGCTGAGGAGTCCCAGGTCATACTGTAACTTAGTGGTGGAAGCAGGTGGAAGATTTGGGAACCTGTGTGCCCTTGGCTGAATGGTGGTGAGTGATCACACACTAGTACAGTGCTACACAGGGGCAGGCCGAGGGCAGCCCAATGGCTGTAAGAACTAAGGGACTGAGGGACAAACGAAGGAGGGAACCACCTCGTCCTACCAAACCTGGCATTGCAGGATTTTCTGTACATCAATACCCAGTCTTCGTTATCTCGCCACTTCGATGAATGAAGAGGTGGACACGGAATGAGCAGCAGGTAGAAGTTTATTAGAGTATAAGGTCAGAAAGGAAGAATAGCAGGAAAGCTCTCTTTACAGAGAGGGGGCATTTGAAGGTGAATACCCGCAACCATAGGCAGGGGTCCTTGTTTTATAAGAATCTGGTCACCCCTTCCCTGCCCCCCGTTCCTTGTCAGGTTCTACCCTTACTGGCTGCACAACTCTAGGCGCAGGCGCTGGGTTATCCATTCCTGACTGGCTGGACTCCATTGTGTGAGGAGTCAGACTGGTCAATACTGTCCCTCGGTTAAGATAAGTTTTATGGTTTAGTTTTTTCAGTCAGGTATTTTGATTGTCAAATTCCTGAGGGAAACCTGAGGGGGAGTAGGTGGTGTCTTACATTCTTAAGAGGGTCCTTACGCCTGAGGGGGTTTGGCGTAGTCAGATGCTCCCAGCATTGTTTCAAAATATGTGTTTTTCTCCACACAGGGACCTCAGGTCCTAACCTTTCCCTCTCTGCCTATTTTATCCTATCTCTCCCTATTATAATCCCCACTCTGAACACATGACTCCTACTGCTATTATGAACCAGGACGATGACCGATCTAAACTGCTTCCTGCTGAAGGGGGACGATGACAGGGGAACCGCAGTCAGGGCAGGTTCAGAAGTCGATCCAGAGATCCGATCTAATGGGAGGGTGTTTGTTACATCTTGGTTTGCAAAATTGCCTTGGATGTCTTATTTTTCTGGCGTATACAACAGCGTCTACGAATGACACACAAAAAGAATATCAGACCAACAAGCAATATTCCAAATGCAGCGCCCCCTAGGGAGGAAGCCACAACATAGGAAGGAAAGCTGCATTGTAGCCATCCTAAAAATCCCTGGCATGTCTGGTCATAATTTTTTACCAATTTAACTATAGCTTTTCCTCCCTCTTCCATACTTATTTGGATCTGGTGATATTGTTGATTAGGATAATTAAGCACCTGAGCTAGCTCATGGTCCTCAATCCTCAATTCTTCCTTTGGCCATCCAGTTTCCATAGGAACAATTCCATGAGGCATATTTAATTCTACCTCAAGGAAAGATTGATCTTCCATATCCAGATTACTGTAAGTCTTGTTAATCTTTTGTAAATGTATTCGACCAACGGTTCCAGTGTTGCACCATACTCCGGTATGATTTAGTACATGGTACATATGCTCACAGGTAAAACTCTCTGTGTCAGCTATTTCTCCTTGTTTACTTTCCCAGCAAAATTTCCCTCTACCCATGTACCAAATGCTATTGGTTATTGGGGTAGAGACGAGTGGCCAGACCTGAGCGAAATCAGGGTTCCAGCTTTGTTGAGGGCACAGCCAGATTTTATTTCTCTCTTCACAGTTAGAAAGAGATATGGGAGCCCAAGCTGATTCATTTGACATTATGGCCCATCGACTCCCCACTGGCAAAATCCTTGTCTGATTTAATATAATCCCTATGCCTGCAAGCTGAACTATTGGATATGAATTAGCATGGTCCATCCGAGGCACATGTGCCCTTAAGATGCAACGCCTCGAGTTACAGCCCCCAGTAATAATCTTCCATAACTTGGGGCTTCCATATATAGGCCATAATTTTTGAGTTTCCAATTCAGCGTTCATTAGAGTAGGCCATTGTCCCATGGCCACCTCAGATTCCATCTGCATTAACATGGTGAGCAATCCTTCCTGGGTGAGAATACATGCCCTTTCCCAGGTTTGAGTTTGGAAATGCCTTTGTACGGTTTCTCTGGTTTTACTTATCCACCTTACTAAGACCTCATTTTCTTTTGAAAGAGTTTCCCATCCTTTGCCTTCTTCTTGAAACAAAGTGCCTTTAATATGGCCTATTTTGGATAAGGAATCCTCTTCCAAATTGTGTCGTTCCTCAGCAGCAGCAAATTCTGCCTGCCCCAATATGCCTAATCCTGTTCCTATCCCTCCTATAAGATCTCTTTTCATGATCTTGTTATTTTGGGGCCAGTAATGTTGTATCCACCATAGGTGTTGTTTCCATTGTAAATCTACGGAGCGGGAGCAATTAGGATAGTAAGTATCAACCCAAAACCTCTGGGTGTCCCAAGTTAGAGTCAACAAAATCGAGGAGACTCCCAGGTAGGCGGTGGTTTGGCTTTGCCACAAAGGTTCCCAAAGCCTTCCGGGTCTAACCGTGATGTTTCCCGTAGGCACTTGGGTCCACCATTGGACCTTTAAGAATAATGCTTGATTAGCCTTCCAGCCGCATTGGCAGGGCAGGAGACTATCTGGACAAGCAATACTATGGCACATCACACATCCAGCTGCAATATCTTGGTCTTCATAACCTGGGACCTTTTTAATTTTTCGATCATCTATATCTATGGCAATACAATGTATCTTTTTAGTTGAGTTATATAATTCCCTTCCAGTTTCATTGCTGGGCAAAATTTCAGCCCAATATTTATGACTTTGTTCTAATTTTACAAATAAGTAACCTGTAAAAGGTTTGCCCTTAGGTAAGTTAAGGATATGGCTATTATCCCAATGCCAAATTGTAAAATTGCCATATTCCGGGTCATATTTTAAAACACGGTCTCCCTCTATAAAACTTAGGTTAGCTGCCTCAACCAAAGGGATCCTATCATTCACCCCTAATAGTGGTGGGGTTGGTGGAATACATACAGGAAGTGTTTCTGAACCCCATAGGCATATTATTATTATATTCCAATATATTGTGTTACTTATCTTCATTCTGTGCTGTCCTTTTCTTGAATATCAATTTAAGGCCTTCTCCTGTTTCACAACTTAACTCGGGCTCCGTGTTGTCCTGTTCTGATGGAAACCACGGCTTAACTCAGGAGCGATGAATCAAGGAGTCAAATTCCAGTACTTTGACAGCAGTAGGATTTGCCAAGATGACCATGTGTGGACCCTTCCACACTGGTCCTAAAGATGGGGACAAAGAAGGAAGGGTTTTCATGAGTACCTGATCTCCTGGGTTATATAGGGGACACTGGTCATCCCAGAGTTAAGAGACAGATAATTCCTGAAGAGTCTGATGGAATTTAGCCAAAGGAATTACATAGTTTACCAAATCAAATACCTCTTTACCTGCCATCAAGTCATTAACAAGAAAGGGTCTTCTATAAAGAACTTCAGAAGGGCTTAGGCCCTTTTTCATGGGGATGGTTCTAATCTGAAACAAAGCAATTGGAGGTAGGGGTATCCAGTTCTGACTTGTTTTTAGGCCATCTTTCTAAGATGTCTCTT